AATCGCAGCCGTTGTGCCGTTCACTGTTCCATGAGAGAGAAAGCCCGTAACCGTAGCTATGTCGTCGCACTTTTTCACAATCCACGTATCACTTCACAATGTAGGCAGGCGCTTGACTGTCTCTCAGCTCGCCGGGCGCTGCTTTTATAGTCGGCTCGGGCCGCGGGTCCGCTGGCCAGCTGTCAGGTACGGGTGCGCCCGTCCGCTCCGGTGCCTGGTCGAGCGTGACGGCGCCGCGGCGTCTGCTATCGCCGCCCTCTCTTGAGTGGCGCCGGAACTCTTTTCCGGTGGCACTTTTAAAGGCACGCAGTCTGCCACAGCACATAGGGCAGTGTGCAAAATGAGTAGTGAGCTAGAGGCGCAATGATTATGGTGAGCATTCAGGTCGCGAAGTCATGAGCAAGACACTCGATAGTTTCGCGCTACGGAGAACGCACTTCCGCGAATCCCGATGGTCACGTGGTCACGATTTCTGGTGGAGAGTTTTAGACGGACCTTGAGTTAAACGGTGGTACCCTCTTCGGTGGCATAACGGTGATTAAGGAGAGTATGCGATGCTAAGCTTTGAGTTGCCCGGTAACCCACCAGTTAGACCCCCGGCGCGTCGACCTTTGGGCAGGAAGGGGCGGAGGGCGATCCTCGAGATGCTCCGGATCCCACACTTTGAAGCCCAGACGGGGAACGTGAACCTACCTGTCAGGTTGCATTCTTGGCTATCCGGGATGAGCCGCGTCTCGGTCAATTGTACTGACGTTTCGGCCATGACATCTTGATGTGGTCAGCAGTATAGCTCTGAAGAATGCCCCAGGAAGATGACCGAAACGTCAGTACAATTGACCGAGACGCGGCTCATCTCGGATAGCCAAGAATGCATTGACTCCAGCCGCGGAAGCCTACGAACCCATATAACGGATCCCTGTCAGGTTGCCCAGGTTCCGGCGATTCTCACGTCGGTAGGGTAAAGGTGATAGCACTGAGGAGACGGGAAGGGGGCCACAAGCCGCCCGGACCTTAGTTTGGGTAGCCCCCTATTGGGCTGTTGGCTTCGTCGTGGCAGTGGCCCTATTCTGGGTTTAGGGGAGGAACTCGTCCCGGCGAATGTGATTGGTGAATTGATTTGACTCTGGCACTGGCATTCATAGTTAGGAGCTCTGAGCTGGCAGAGCGGTCCGACCCAGGTTTAGTATGTGGTTGTTACCGAATAGATCAAGTACAGTCTGGCGGGCTCGAGGTATCAGCCCGAGGAGGAACTTGTACGCCTGCGGGAGGGGCAGATAGAGGCCAACGCCTTGGTGACCACCCAGGGGAGAACTCCACGTGATAAAGTACAAGTGCGAGGTAGGCGCACTGCAGACCTTTACACAACCCACGGCAGCTAGCTATGGAAACACGCTATTTATACCATCAGTAGTATACTTTTTCAATAAAATATTATATTTAATAACAAAAATATTTGTAAAATTAATACTAGTACATAAATTGTCTTTTAAAATTCTAATTTCTTAATCACACCAATGTGAACTGATATTATAACATGCTTTATCATTATCAAATTAAAGCGTTTTTTCTAAAACTAGATGTAATTAATTATTATTCACTAATATTGTAATTATTCCAGTCATTTTCATTTATGAACTGTTGAAAACTCAGAGGAAAAGGTATTAACTCCTTTTTCCTTGAAAACTCATGCGTGGTAGAATGATTCAAATTTTTGTACCTTAAATCTCATCTAAATGCGCAACTCTGAAAAACACTTTCCAGAGCTGTGGGTTTAGAATAACTGGTTACATTGCAGGTCATAAGGACGCTACGAGAAGCCATGAAATAGAAGCTACACTTGGTGTGTACCTAATAGGCACCTATGGGCATGTATTATATACCTTCACAGATGCGCATCTTTATATTCTTTTCTTGAAAATAAAAAAAAAACGAATGTCCAAAACAGAGCTGTTAAGAAACACGAGATAAAACGAAGGACATATCTCATTCAAACGTCTTTTCGTTTGAAAGTTTTTAGGTATACGGTTTTATAAATTATGTTTTGGCATAGGTCAATTTTTCCGTAGAGAAGCCACTACATAAATATCGAAAAACTTAACACAGCCTTCAAACTTCAGAATCGGCTGAGCAATAAGCACAAAAACAATGGTTGATTGGCTGCATTAGTATCAATTTTGCAACTAATGTTATATGAACCGGATTATGTTGTTAGTCATTACTATAAATACATTTCTAAAGTCTGGTTTAATTGGTCGAAGACCAATATTAATATCTCAAAGCACGAGTATTTTTAAGGTGGATATTGATTACATTAAAACAATTTTGTATATGGGGTGGACTTCTTGTTAGCTAGAGCGTTTTGGCAATTAAATAATAGTATAATTTATTAATAATTTATTACATGTTCATATTACTAAAAAGAACAAATACAATAAAATAAAACAATAATGAATTGGGCAATACAAACTGTACTTTGTATGGAAACAAACAGGAGAACTAATATTATGAAATCTCAATGTAATATAAATAGTTTAGTCCCCTTTAGTCTCATCAAATAAAATCATGTATGTTTCGAACACAATTACAATATGCCTAGTAATTAATGCTAGTATATTAATAGACAATTTCGATGATGAGCCTAAAGAAGCGTTTTTAAGCCTATGAAGAATTACTTACATCAGCACAATATAGATGTACGTGGTTAAATAAACCACACTAGAGTGATTCTGACAACAACGTTTCTTGCAACAGTACCAACTCACCGAAAAATATCACGGAAAGGTCTAGTTACATAAAGAAAATTAATTTCTTTGACAATACATTCATAAATTGATAAAATCACGCGCTGTCGTTAAAAGGCAACTTTACTCACTTTTATTACATGAGTACCTATCATCATATAATGCAATAATTCTTTTAATTACGTAGGTAATACAATTATTTCATCAAATACTATTTTAGGGACGTTAGTAATTCTACAGCCTTCAGAGCAATTTCCCCACGTTGGTCTCCACAACAACCAGTCCAAGAGGACGAAGAAACTCTATTGCAACTCTTACGGTAAAAATAAAATAAAATGAATATAACTAAATTTTTAATAATAAAACGAAAATGTGTACTAAAATGTTTCAGATTCAATAATTATAATATTTTTTAATAAAATACATTCAATGAAAATACAAAAATTAAAGCTTGGCAAAACAAGGAGTCTTTCTTCTTTACACAAGTCAACCTTACATACCTGAATCGTGTTCCCGGACGTTAGATGAAGCCGGTGGGCGGCGGGCGATTACTCGAGAGCACGGTGCCACTGTGCACCTGCTCCAGGGCGACGCGATGGCCTGGTTCCAGTGGCCAGCGCCTTGCCTCGGGCGAACATGTACGGAGCCCAGCACGCACTTGCCCAGCAGCTTGTCTGCAAGCACACGCGCCGCACGGGATCTTCAATGGCGCCCACTGTGCGCAACACGTCCCAGCCAACCTGTTCGTCATTCATGTTCGGAACTCATCGTGTCACGCCACAATGTTCGCCCACTTCCACGTTCGTCACTTCGTTGCGTCTGTGTCGTCATCGCTCATGTTCGTTCGTCGGTTCGTCATCCCTCGTGTTCGTCATCCCTCGTGTTCGTCATCCCTCGTGTTCGTCATCCCTCGTGTTCGTCATCCTCTTCGTCCTCTCTCGTGTTCGTCATTCTCGTGTTCGTCCATCCTCGTGTTCGTCATCCCTCGTGTTCGTCTCTCGCTCTCGTAGCCTCGTGTTCGTCATCCTCTGTCGTCATCCCTCGTGTTCGTCATGTTCGTCATCCCTCGCTCGTGTTCGTCATCCCTCGTGTTCGTCATCCCTCGTGTTCGTCATCTCTCCTCGTGTTCGTCACCGTGTTCGTCATCCCTCGTGTTCGTCACATCCCTCGTGTTCGTCATCCCTCGTGTTCGTCATCCCTCGTGTTCGTCATCTCCTCTTGTCTCTCGTTCATCCCTCGGTTCGTCATCTCTCGTGTTCGTCACTTCGTTCTCATCACCTTAGATGCTCGTCATCATGTTCATTTCCTTATATACAATATTGGATCACCAAATTCCACATTCTGCAGCACACTTCATACGGGCACAGCTCTCAGCCGGCAAACCTTTCAGCTACCACACCACTCCCATTCACACCACTTCGACTTGGCCAAGAGCATTTCTCTGCATCCAGCATTTTATGCTTTGCCAGG